GCCAACTTGACACATTTCGCTATTTTGTAATGAGAAAGAAATAAAAAACCAATCATGAATAAGAAAAATATTTCAAAATTCACACTTTTCGTCAAAAAAATAATTAAAATTTAATAAACCAAATTTGTTTAAAACGAGGTTGCCTTATAACTTCTATGACGTCATCTATATGCCTCAACATAATGCAAATCTCCATAAAGCACCCCAAATGCGTTATCAAGTTACCCATTACCAAACAACTTGTGAACTTTAGGCCAAACACAAAGAGCAACCGTCAATTAATTATACAAATTAACGGCCATGACACTTTATCAAACACTGTTGCCATTTAAGCTAAACCAATGTCGGCCTACTATAATAAATTTTGACAGTTCACAGCAAGTACATTATATTCCCAGTAAATTTTTATATGTTTAATAGCCAATACAATATAATAAAAGACTTTTTTTCTTTAAAAACCCACAACCTAAACTTAAACTATTTTTCCGAGTTATTAATCACAAAATACTGGCATCTTTAACGTTGCATTTAACCGCAAGATGCCGTTCTTATACCCCGGCAAATTGCCCCTCGTAAATAAAGGGGGCTGTGTGTCGTACAATAACTTTGGCTGTAGAAAAGGGATTTATCACATTTACCCCGGAGAGAGGAAATTAATTGTCTACCAAGTTTTGACTTTGTGGGAAAATGACATTAAGTCAATCAATTTATCTATGGGTAGGATATACATTTAATTCCTCAATTATTTAAAATTGACAACTGATGCCTTTTACTGATTCATACAGTGTTGTCAATTTTTATGAATGTCATCCATAATTCCCATTTAAAAATGGAGGCAGGTTCAATACCTTAGAGCCGAATAAAATTTCCTCCATGCCTCTGTATTCCCAAGCTAAATGGAAATATATCCCTCTTTTCTCTCTCCCCCAAAGGAGCTATATTAGTTCGTCTGTCTGGATATAATAAGATTCCTAAACTTTTTTGATTTAAAAAGTTAGCCAGAAACTAATCTCTCATTTGTATTTATTTTTTTTTTGTGTAAAGTAAAAACCGGATATCCGGAGGGGATTTGCACTTTCACCCCTCGACGATAATATTATACGTTTCCTGGGGTAAAAGGATATAGAATTTCCCGAGATTGCAGCAGGAAATTAGAAAACGAAGCACGTATTAATTAGAGCTTCTTTCATTTTAATTATTGGGTTAATTTTTCAATTAATAAAACTACAAAAACTTCAGGAAGTCGGAAGTAAAAAAAAAAACTCGGGGAAAATTCATTAAAAACCTGCCCGTGACGTGCATACAATCCGTTTAAAAACTCGTTGAACTACTCCGGAGCGCCATCTGTACTAATTAAAATGCAAGCAATATATAAACCTACTGACTCAGTTAGATTCTTGCACGTCTTTATTAACTTAATTAAAATGAATAAGCTGGGATTAATATAAAAAGAGTTTGTCTGCAAGATGTCATATACTGGATTAGATTCAAATCACTCTAGCAAAATCCACTTTAATTTACAAAGAAGCTACTTTTGAGGCGAATTAATGAATTGAGGCAATTTATCAGTCGCTCCCTTTCGGGGTGAAGGTTCTTTAGATACAAATGTTCTTGGCATTAACTGGATTGTCTGTTCTAAAAGGGCCTGATTTATGTTTAGAGGGATAAATAATTAGAATTTGGCAACAGTGTATACAACTGGATGGTAAAGGAATTTCAAGAAACGTCAGTTGAATGCAACAAAAAATTGTATAAACGACAACAGTGTATGATAAAGTGTCATGGCCGCCAATTTGAATTATTGATATTGACATATATTTCATATTGACATTATTCGGCGACTGTCAATAAAATTGAACATGCGATATGCAACTATGGTTAATTCTCAGTTTTTCCGTCTCAATTTTTGTCTATTCCCGGCTCTTGAATTTTTCAAAATAAAGAAAATTCGAGGACCTGGGATAGAAAAAATATAAATGTCCTGGATCAATTATTGAAACATTGAAATTCGCCAAGGATATTACACACTACAGAATTTCTCATTGACTTCGATTCTTGGAATCTAGGTGTTGCACTGTTGCCAACGTCATCAATTTTATCGTTAGCTGTTTGCGCTAGAGATCGTAGCTCAAAATATACCGAAGGTTTGTCCTAACAATCCACTGTCAATATCAAGAATAGTGAACCTAAAAAAGTTATCTGGATTATTTAAGATCGAATTTGTTCCAATGCCCATGGTTCCTAAAGTTGATAGGTTGTCTGATGATGCATAACTTGATGACGACATCGAGGTTGCAAAATGATTTTCATTAACATATTCCCAAGTCTGTTCTAAAAGGGCCTGATTTATGTTTAGGGATAAATAATTAGAATCTGGCAACAGTGTAGATAAATGGATTTTCGTTGATGGTAAAGGAATTTCAAGAAACGTCAGTTGAATGCAATTGCATAAATATCAACATTGTTTAATAAATTGTCATGACCGCCAATTTGGATTATTATTGACATATTTCATATTGACATTATTATTCGGCGACTGTTATTATTCAAATTGGCGGCCATGATACTTTATTGAACATTGTTGCCATTAATACTCAGTTTTTCCGTCTCACGGGAGTGTCTCTGTTTTGAGCCAGAATGCCTACTAACTCCCTACTGCTTTTCCTAACAATCCACTGTGAAAATCAAGGATAATGAACCCGATAAGGTTATCTGGATTATTTAGGATCGAATTTGTTCCAGTAAGAATCGTTCTCAATAACTCTGATGCACGTCATTTTTGATGCTTTCTTTGTTTATGCTCTGAAGACTGACAAATGACAATGTCATTCGTTATTTGCACCTTGTTCGTTTGACGTAGAGAAGGATTTATCGATATATCGATATTATTATGAAAAAATATCGATATGTGTCATTTAATAAAAAATTGATTTTAAATAATGTTTCAACCATCAATAACCAAAACTCCCCGATTGACACTCAGCAAACAAGTAGGCATTGAAATCAAGGATATTAAACTGAAAAAGGTTGAATTATTTATAATCAAATTTCTTTGTTCCATATGACGTCACCGTAGTTTTCAATTAAAATTCAAAAGCCCAGCATTGACCATAATTCCTAAAATTAATAGGTTGTCTGGTGATGCGTAACTCAATGACGTCATCGGGGTTGCAAAATGATTGTCGTTAACATATTCCCAAGCCAACTATGATATATTCAGATTTCACTCGCAGGGCCGGTTTCTCAATAGCGAGTCATCCTCAGGTTGGTTTTAACTCCAAGGTTAATGTGTAAAATTGCAATATTTATCCTGGAGTTAGTTTAACCTGAAGGCACCCTGCTATTGAGAAACCGGCCCTAAGGGCCGGTTTCTCAATAGCGAATCCCAATGCGAATCACCTCCGGGTTGGTTTCAACTTCAGGATAAACGTGTACAATTGCTTTGTTGACCCTGTTTACTTAACTCGGAGGTAATTTGCTATTGAGAAAGCAGCCATAAGAAAGTAGATGGAGGTACTATCATTTCCACTGACCAAAAGCATTTCCTAAAAATCCACTGTCAAAGAATTACAAATAAATAACGTCAAAACAAAGTAGGCTTTGAAAATCAAGGATAGTACACTCAGAAAGGTTGCCTAGATTATTCATCAATCAAATTTGTTCCAGATGACATCATCGGAATGTATAGAGCGTGCGGAAAAGTGCATTTCTCTTGAATTTCTTTTCTTTAATTTTCAATTTTTCCCGCCCATTTTTTGTTTGTTCCCGGAACAAATAGGCTTTGAAAATCAAGGATAGTAAGCCCAAAAAGGTTGTCTGGATTATTTATAATCGAAATTGACCCAAATGACATCAATTGAAATGACGTCATCGGAATGTATAGAGCGTGCGGAAAAGTGTATTTCTCAATTTCTTTTCTTTAATTCTTAATTTTTCCCGCTCATTTTTTGTTTATTCCCACACATTACATACTCACGAAACAAATAGGCTTTGAAAATCAAAGATAGTAAACCCAAAAAGGTTGTCTGGATTATTTATAATCGAAATTGTTGCAAATAACATCAATTGAAATGACGTCATCGTAATGTATAGAACGTGCAGAAAAGTACATTTCTCAATTTTTCTTAAATTTCTTTCCTTTAATTCTCAATTTTTCCCGCTCATTTTTTGTTTATTCCCACACATTGCACAGTCACGAAACAAGTAGGCTTTGAAAATCAAGGATAGTAAACCCAAAAAGGTTGTCTAAATTATTCATAATCGAAATTGTTTCAAATGACGTCAATTGAAATGACGTCATCGGAATGTATAGAGCATGAGTAAAAGTACATTTCTCAATTTCTCTTAAATTTCTTTTCTTTAATTCTCAATTTTTCCCGCTCAATTTTTATTAATTCCCGGCGCTTGATTTGTTTCCAAGAAGAAAATTCAAGAGCCTGGAATAGAAAAAACATGAATACATTTTTCTCACACATTACATTAAGACGAGAAACGACACGCTGTCTACGTCATCACTGGTACTTTGGCGTGGTCTGGGGCTTGATATTTGAACTATGCAGACCTTCTGAGAATAGGCTAAAAACAAAGTTCAATTAATTCAAGGTTACATCAAAAATGGCAATTTCACAAAATTCGTCATCATTATTATTTTCCGTCGAGACATTTTTTTTATCGCCTCCGAACGAATTAACATTAAAAGCAAAACCCGATTTTAAATCAATTTTTCATCGTACATATTCGTTGGCGAATGTCAAAGGACGAAAAAGAGACGACGCCGCCCTTTTTCGGGGTTATTTATGCTTTTCCCTCTCTGAATAAAAAAAAGGTGATTGATATTTTACAAAAAATCGTATCGTATCAAGGCCTGATAACTTTATGACGTCATCTAAGGTGCCTCAACATAATGCAATACGTCATCAAGTTACCTGTTACCAAACAACCTAGCCTTGGTATCAATGAAAGTATTTTTAATATTGACTTAAAAAACTCTTTTGTTTCAGATCACGTGTGGGACTTGGCCAACCAATCGGAAAACAAAACTTTGGTGCTATTTTCGCAAGTCTACCAAAGCATGTCGGTGCTGTCGCGGCAACCCATAGAAATCCTCTACCGTGACATTCGGAACTACATAAAAATCGATTTACGGCCCGCAAAAACCCCTGATGACATTGTCAAAAGTGTAGAAAACTTCTTTACCGACTTATTCCCGTTGACGTACCACCAACAAACCAACCACCCGGGTGATTTTACTGTCAAATACAAACAGTGTTTAAAAGACAATATGGATGTTATAGTCCCATTTGGTGACTATCCAAAAGAAGTGGCAACATCGCTGTCAAAAAGCCTTGAAGCCGCAAGATTACTACTACAAGCTTTTAGCATTGGAATCGAAGTACTAAACACTACTGACTCATTGATTATAGACGAACGCAGCGCCAATAGTGCCGAATGTCATGCGGCCCTTTTCAAAATGACATACTGTCCGAAATGTTTGGGCCTAACCAAAAATAGTAGGCCGTGTTCGGGTTATTGTCTAAATGTGTTGCGCGGTTGCATAAGCAAATACGTGGCGGAATTGGATTCGCCGTGGAACAGTTACGTGGAAGGTGTTGAAGTTTTGGTGAACGCGATTAAAAGGAATGAGGCTGGTGCTAATGTCGATACGGCCATTAGGAATTTGGATGGGCAGATATCGTCGGCCATTATGTATTGTATGGAGAAGATCAAGGATATTGATAAGAGGGTAAGTGAATGTTTTGATGTTTGTTGATACACTTATATTTTTTCCAATTAGGATCGACTTTTTACTATAATCGGAATTTGACATTTTTGTCAACTTTTGTAGATTTCGAATAAGTGCTGCTACCTGGTGAGCGTCAAAATACTAAATAGCTCGCATTGCTTTTTCTTGGAAGTGTAATTTTCTTTTTTTGGAAAATGATGGAGTTGCATATCGATACGAATTTTCATTATCGATATGTAATGAATTTTTTTCCTATTCCAGGCTCTTGAATTTTGACAATGTGTAGGCAAATATAGACAGACAAAAATTGAAAAACTTCAAATAAATCGTAATTAGGCAGTTGTGAAAAGCAAATAAGTGCGGTAAAATTTACTTTTCCGCACGTTTTATACATTTCGGTGATGTCATCTGGAACAAATTCGATTCATGAATCTTTCATACAACCTTTTTGGGCTTACTATCCTTGATTTTCAAAGCCTATTTGTTCCGTGAGTGTGCAATATGTGGGAATAAACAAAAAATAAGTGGGAAAAATTGAGAATTAAAGAAAAGAAATTTAAGAGAAATTGAGAAATGCACTTTTCTGCACGCTTTATACATTTCGATGACGTCATTTGGAACAATTTCGATTATAAATAATCTAGACACCCTTTTTGGGTTTACTAGCCTTGATTTTCAAAGCCTACTCGTTTCGTGAGTGTGCAATGTGTGGGAATAAACAAAAAATGAACAGAGAAAATTGAGCAATAAAGAAAATAAATTTAGGAGAAATTGAGAAATACACATTTCCGCACGCTCTATACATTCCGATGACGCCATTTCAATTGACGTCATTTGGAACAATTTCGATTTTAAATAATCCAGACAACCTTCTTGGGTATAGTATCCTTGATTTTCAAGGTCTTCTTGTTTCGTGAGTGTGCAACGTGTGGAAATTAACAAAAAATGAGCGGAAAAAATTGAAAATCAAAGGAAAGAAATTTAAGAGAAATTGAGAAATGCATTTTTTCGCACACTGTATATATTCCGATGACGTCATTTCAATTGACGTCATTTAATTCATTTTCGATTATGAATAATTCAGACAACCTTTTTGAGTTTACTATCCTTGATTTTTAAAGCGTACTTGTTTCGTGAGTGTGCAATGTGTGGAAATGAACAAAATATAGACGAGAAAAATTGAGATTTAAAGAAAACATTTAAAAGAAATTGAGGAATGCACTTTTCTGCACGCTCTATACATTCCAATGACATCATTTCAATTGACGTCATTTGGAACAATTTCGATTATAAATAATCCAGACAACCCTTTTGGGTTTACTATCCTTGATTTTCAAAACCTACTTATTTCGTGAGTGTACAATGTGTGGGAATAAACAAAAAATGAACGAGAAAAATTGAGAATTAAAAAAAAAAAATTTAAGAGAAATTGAGAAATGCACCTTTTCGCACGCTCTATACATTCTGATGACGTCATTTCAATTGACGTATTTGGAACAATTTCGAATTTTAATAATCCAGACAACCTTCTTGGGTGTAGTATCCTTGATTTTCAAGGCCTACTTGTTTCGTGAATATGCGATGTGTGGGAATAAACAAAAAATAAGTGGGAAAATTTGAGAATTAAAGAACAGAAACTTAAGAGAAATTGAAAAATGCACACTCTATATATTCCACTGATGTCATTTCAATTGATGTCATTTGGAACAATTTCGATTTTTAATAATCAAAACAACCTTTTTGGGTATACTATCCTTGATTTTTAAAGTCTACTTGTTTCGTGAGTGTGCAATGTGTGGGAATAAACAAAATATAGACGAGAAAAATTGAGAATTTAAGAAAAGTAATTTAAGAGAAATTGAGAAATGCATTTCCGCACGCTCTATATATTCCAATGACGTCATTTGAAACAATTTCGATTATGAATAATTCAGACAACCTTTTTGGGTTTACATATTGATTATAAATAATTTAGACAACCTTCTTGGGTTCACTATCCTTGATTTTTTAAGCCTACTTGTTTCGTGTGTGTGCAATGTGTGGAAATAAACACAAAAAATGAACGGAAAAAATTGAGAATTAAAAAAAGAAATTTAAGAGAAATTAAAAAATGCACTTTTCCGCACACTATACATTCCGATGACGTCATTTCAATTGACGTCATTTGGAACAATTTTGATTATAAATAATCCAGACAACCTTTTTGGGTTTACTATCCTTGATTTTCAAAGTCTACTTGTTTCGTAATTGTGCAGTGTGTGAGAATAAACAAAAAATGAGCAGGAAAAATTGAGAATTAAAGAAAACAAATTTAAGAGAAATTGAGAAATGCACTTTTCCGCATGCTCTATACATTCCGATGACGTCATTTCAATTGATGTCATTTGGAACAATTCCAATTATAAATAATTCAGACAACCTTTTTGGGTTTACTATTCTTGATTTTCAAAGCTTACTTGTTTTGTGAATGTACGATGTGTGCGAATAAACAAAAAATGAGCTGAAAAAATTGAGAATTAAAGAAAACGAAATTTAAGACAAATTAATAAATCCACTTTTCCGCACACTCTCTACATTCCGATGACGTCATTTCAATTGACGTCATTTAGAACAATTTCGGTTATAAATAATCCAGACAACCTTTTTGGGTTTACTATCCTTGATTTTCAAAGCCTACTTGTTCCGTGAGTGTGCAATGTAAGGGAATTGACAAAAAATGAGCGGGAAAAATTGAGAATTAAAAAAAAGAAATTCAAGAGAAATGTACTTTTCCGCACGCTCTATACATTTCGTTGACGTCATTTGGAACAATTTCGATTATTAATGAGCCAGTCATTCTTTTTGGGTTTATTATCCTTGATTTTTAAAGCCTATTTGTTTGGTGAGTGTGCAATGTGTGGGAATAAACAAAAAATAAGCGGGAAAAATTGAAAATTAAAGAAAAGAAATTTAAGAGAAATTGAGAAATTTACTTTTTTGCACACTTCATACATTCCGATGACGTCATTTCAATTAACGTCATTTGGAACAATTTCGATTATAAATAATCTAGACAATCTTTTTGGGTCTACTATCCTTGATTTTGAAAGCCTACTTGTGCAATGTGTAGGAATAAACAAAAAAATGAGCAGAAGAAATTGAGAATTAAAGAAAAGAAATTTAAGAGAAATTGAGAAGTGCACTTTTTCGCACACTCTATACATTCTGATGATGTCATCTGGAACAAATTTGATTCATGAATAATCCAGAGAACCTTTTTGGGTGTATTATCCTTGATTTTTAAAGCCTACTTGTTTCGAGAGGATGCAATGTGGAAATGAAAGTTGAATTCAGAAAATTCTTTATCGTTTGACGTTATTTATTTGAAATTCTTTAACAGTGGATTGTTAGGAAATGCCTTCGATCAGTGGAAATGACTGTGGCTCCATCTACTTCCTTAAAGTGACAAATTCAAGAGCCGGGAATAAATTCAAATTAAAACTAGTTAAGGTTTTTTTGCGACTAAGCGTTTTGAAATAGTTTCAAAATACTCCATTTCCTTGAGTCATTGATGACGTCACACTTGATTCTGCTTTAAAACGTTTAATAAAAAGCTTCTCGTTTCAATAGAGTATTTCGGTACATGAAATAGTGACGTCAGAGCGGAAACTGTTAATAATTGGTATCCATCAAATGCAGTATCAATAATTTCAGCAGCTGTCAAACGTAAATAAGTGCGGAAAAGTGCGTATACATTCCGATGACATCATCTGGAACAAATTCGATTCATGAGTAATCCAGACAATGTTTTTGGGTGTATTATCCTTGATTTTCAAAGCCTACTTGTTTCGAGAGGGTGGCAATCTGAAAATGAAAGTTAAATTCAGATAATTCTTTATCGTTTGACGTTATGTATTTGGAACTCTTTAACAGTGGATTGTTAGGAAATGCCTTTAGTTAATGGAAATGACTGTGGCTCCATCTATTTCCTTAAAGTGACATCTGAATATAATATCATAGTAGGCTTTGGAATATTTTAACGATAATGATTTTGCACTCCAAATGACGTCATCAATTATATTAATTTTAGGAATTTTGATCTGGCCAGACTTTTGAATTTTTATTGAAAACTACGATGACGTCATATGGAACAAATAAATTTAATTATAAATAAATCAATTTTGTTGGGTTTAATATCCTTGCTTGATTGTCATAGCCTACTTGTTTTTTAAGTGTCAATGGAGGAGTTTCGGTTAAAACATCATTCAAAATTAACCCTTCTCTATGCTAAACATACAAGGTGCAAATAACGTATGACATTGTCACTTGTCAATCTTCAGAGCTCAAACAAAGAAAGCATCAAAGATGACGTACGTCAGAGTCATTGAGAACGATTTCTATTGGTCAGTGAAGAAGTCTACGTCATACACTGTCCAAGCATTAATAAAATAAAGTGACAAAATCAAAAAATGGTGACAACTATTGCACTTTTCGATAATCTGGTTTTGGGTGGACTTGCGAACATAAGTAGCGCAGTCGAGTTTTTTTTTTTTTTCCTTCACGTATGCATATTTTATGATGTCGAGCTTAAAATAAATGATTGTTTCAATAAAACATGTCGCCATTTATGGAAGTGTTCGTTTTTGTGGCCGAACATCTGTTCCGCTCTCTCGCTCTACCTACGTGGAAGATAAATTACAGTTATTGGTCGATATTAAACAGTTTTTCGATACATAAGTTTGAAACAATTTTGCGTTAATAGGTAGTCTGGTAATGGTAAACATAAATGACGTCATCAGGAAGATCTAATGAAGATTTGTATTATGTTTAAACATCCAGATGACGTCATACAAATTATCAGACAACCTTGTGTCTATAGTCTGTTTTTCAATCACAAGGTGTCATAAATGTGTCAGAATATAGTTAGTTCATTGGCGTGCCAGGTACCTACATAACAGCCTTAGTATTTACATAACTTTTTCCTATTCTCAAATCGACACAAGTTTATTAAAAATGCAAAT